ATCTCGCAAGGTTGAAAACCCACAAAGGGTGGCCTTGGCAAAAGTTAGAGCGTAAAAGGAGAGTGAAAATACTCGAGTGAACCTAAGCCTGAACTACGTAAGGCTTGATTCCCATCTTTGGGATACGTAGGCAACTTCATCCTGAAGTTCAGCCATAAACTTTTCCCCGATCAACTTTGTCCATTTTTGACCATCTCAGTCATCTTTATCCGTTACCATTTATCGCAATCTCCGGTGCAGTGCTATTCAGACTAGGGGCAACTTTTCGTTGCCACACGGTGTTCCGGTACTATTCAGACTAGGGGCAACTTTCCAGTTGCTAGGATCCAGGGTGGTGCATCTCAGTGACAGATCTTAGGCGTGTCCAGTTCTGATCCATATCGAAAATGGTTTTGAAAAGTTTTAATAAAAGTTTTTTTTTGGGTGAATAAGGGGAATACCCCAGGCCCTACAATATACAGCAAGATTAGCAACCAAAAAAAAAAGATAAAGCACTAAATGTCGGCCCCAAGTCGAAAAAGATAAAGCACTGTTCAGCAACCATATCATGAGAGATAGGGGAAATGAACACTGCGGAAGAACAGCCCAAAGCCGTGAGATAAACAGCCCCATAGCAGCACTAAATGTCGGCCCCAAGTCCGAAAACAGTAATGGAAAAACAAAACATAAACCTGTGGACTACATAATCCAGTACCAAACAGTAAAGCAAATAGAGACAAAACAGGTCAAAGATGGACCACTTAATTCCTAGCACATCCCGCTAGGATAGGTAAAATAGCTAAAGTTTTTTTTTTTTTTTGGGTAAGTAAGTCATAAAATAAAAACAATGAAATTTACAAGTTTACAAGGGGCATACCCCAGGCACACCCAACAACAAATAATTAAACGAATACATAACCAACATAACCTACCACTGCACCCCCTAAGCTTGGGGGAGAAACACAAGAACAACAGAAAAAAACAAAATAGCCCAACTTTGCCCATATATCCTTTTGTCCCCAAGTAACCCCTACCATCAGAGATAATAGACGGAAACTTGGGATGGATATATGGGCAAAGATACAAACAAACACCAAAAGAACTTAAAAACCACAACAAGCATACTCACAAAGCAACAACCCTCAAGACAAATCAAAATGATAACCAACCCCATTCGCCCCCAGTCTCTACCGTAGATCAACACATGGAATCCAGTAAGCATCCCACTCCTCACAGCCGTGACATCCTAGCCACTCAACAAAAGCCATGACAGAGGAAAAAATCTACCCCATGAGAAATCCCGACAGAGTCACATGAAGCTAGCACGATCAGTAACCATAAGCAACAGTCTTGTGAGTCAAAGTGACAACGGTAGCCCCACAGCAACAAACCGATACATAGCCAAAAATAACCTGAGATCAAACATCACATCCCCCAGTCCCTTCCTTGGTAGATCACAAGCCTCAAACCCCACGGCAGTGTGCCCTTCACTCCATGTCAGGCGTGGCAATACGACCAATTAGGATGGGTCACATGAAGACAAGAAGCAACCGGAACCGGTAGCTATCCTCCCGCTCATCTCCCAGTCTCTAACTCGGCTAGTCATCGAACCACTATTCCCCATAGCAGTGACCCCTCAATCACTCTTGGCGGAGATGGCTCAAAACTAACCTCATATCGAGTCACATGAGGATCACACGATCAATCATCACGATAAAAATTGACTATACATAATCTGCTGCAAAATGACTAAAAAGAAAATAAAAACCAGCTGCCCAAAATTTTCCTCGCAAAAGCACCCCACTTGACAGTGTAAAAAAATTTGAAGTCCTCCTCAAAACAGTACCCACGTACTATGGCATTCCAGTATACACCACTAAAAACTATTTATATATATAAATAATTATATATATAAAATAACAATGGGCCAAAATTGACCCAACCAACCCAGATAGAAATCCACTCCGTAAGCTGCAACCCACCAAAACAACGTGGGCCCACCCACTCCCAAAAAACAACCCACGGCCAAACACATTTTACACCTAAAAAATTAGCTTCACTTTACACCCACGTGAGCCCCCTCAAAAAAAACAAATCAAATGGGACCCACAATCCACTCTACACAAAACCACCAATAAAATCAGTAGTATCTTCAACAAAATCAAACTTGTGGGCCCAAATAAAAGCAAACCCACAAGAAGTCCAATGTGGGCTCACCCACTCCATCCAAAACAATTAAAACTATCCACGTGGACCCACATACACCAACTAAAAACCACGGCTATACATAATATCCACCACGGCACACCAAATATATATAATAATATATATTGAAACCAATAAACAAAGCAATCACGTGGGCATTGACCCTTTCCCAATTTGAAATTACCTCCAACTTGTACACGGCTTCCCATGTGAGGTATGAACCACATACTTGCCAACTCACAATTTGTCTTCCCCATAAAGAGAAACCCACTGTATAGCGATCCCGGGTTTACCCTTGTTATATAGTGATCCGGACATGTGTCCGTGGATGTTGGTAGTTGTTTATTATCTTGTTTGCATCCTTTTAACTGGTATATTGAGTTATAGGATGTGTTGGGCAGGTTTGTTTCAGGTTGGTTGTGTTGGGAGCCTAGTGTTGCTGCCCAGATTTTTGGACCTTCGCTCGAGCGAGGAGTTAGGCTTCGCTGGCTCCTTGCTGATATGGGTGTTTCTTCATCTGCTCCTACCCCTCTCTACTGTGACAATCAGAGTGCCATTCAGATTGCTCACAATGATGTTTTTCATGATCGCACCAAACATATTGAGATTGATTGTCATTTTATTCGCCAGCATGTCACCTGTGGAACTGTTCATCTTCTTCCTATTGCCTCAGTCGATCAACCCGCTGATATCTTCACTAAAGCTCATCCTTCTGGCCGCTTTCATGATCTTGTTTCCAAACTCAACTTGGTTGATGCTTTCCCTCCTTGAGTTTGCGGGGGGATGTTAGTTTATTATTGTATCATGTTAGTGTTAGTTTATTATTGTATAGTGTTAGTTTATTATTGTATACAGGTTAGTGCAGGTTAGTGTATATCAGTGCTATTAGAATATGATAGTTAGTGTTAGTCATAATGAATGTTCCCATTTACTTTCTTCTTTCGGTGCAAATTGGTGGCACCCTATGTAGCTTTTCCTCTCTATAAAAGAGAGTGTAAATCTCCTAATAATACACACAATAACTGAATAATTCAGTGGCTATTTCTCTCTCTCTCAATCCTCTATCACTCTCTCAAATTATTGTTTCAGCCTTGATTTTGTTTCTTGTTTCCTCCATCCTTATTCTCTGACATATTCATCTTTGTTTGAAAAGATTGCTCCAATAACTGATTCTCCGATCCTTGAAACTCATTCTTCAAAATCTCCCATGCTTCTTTAGATTTTGTTGCAGCCATTATCCTTGGAGCAATTGTTTTCGTGATTGCTTGTTGAATGTAGTACAAGGCTTTGGCATCTTTCATCTTATGTTCTTTCAACTTCTCCTTCCTTGCCTCCGACCATGCTGAATATTCTTCTTGGCTTTGAGGGCTTTCGTAGCTATTTTCAACCAAATCCCACAGATCTTCTGAGATGAAAAAGGTTCTCATTAGAGTGCTCCAAAAATCATAATTTTCTCCATCAAAAATCGGTAGTACGGCTGACGAAAATTTGAAGGTTGTAATGCTGGAACTTGCTGCCATTCTTTGAACCTAAACCTTAGCTGTTTTGTTTTGTAAGATCTTCAATGCTCTGATACCACTGTTACGTTGCTACACAGTGTGATGGTGCAGCAAGAATTCAGGACAGTTAGGGAAGAGAAGTTTTGTGCATAAATTTGTTACAAAAAATTGTGGGTATGAATGAGTTTTTATTTGTGACAAAGAAGATGAAAAATATGTACTCACTTCAAGTTATTTTCCTCTGTTGGGCTTGCATAGCTGAATAAATTAGATGCCTATCATCATAGACTGCACCTAATTCTCCAAAAATTTCAATTTACATCAATGTTATCAAAATTACAATCCAAATCATAGGATCATACAATCCTAAATTGTCAAAACAATCCAAATTGGTGTTATAGTAGGATCGCAAGTAGGATAGTGTGGGATAGTGTAGAATTGTGATTTTTCACCTTATTTTTAGTATGTATCATCCCTATTTGCATTTTTACCTTATTTTTAATAAGAAGTACGACTTAAGATCTTCTATCCGACCCTACAATCCGATTCACAAGATTCTCTCACCGATCCTAAGATCGATCTCGATTTTAACAACCATCTAACACAAGATTGTTGAAATCGGGATCCTATGTGGGATCTTTGGGAAGGAGTCCTGGATCGGATCGTAGAATTAGATCGAGAATCGTAAGATTCTAATTTCAATGCAAAATGAAATAAAAATTTATCTATAATGATAATGTATGTAAAATAATTTCAAAATCATTAAAGAAAAATGATAATTTGATATAAGGCATCTTCTATGCTAAAATTTATTAGAGGAGATGCTTTATGGTCAAATTTTTTATATAGATATACATATATAAGAAGGAAAAAAAAAAAAAAAAACTTGTAGATATGGTATTGTAGTAGAATCAGGATCGTGGTACGATTCTACAATTTAAGATCCTAATGTGATCCCGATTGTTTGGCCCAACTGGGGTTATACAATTGTAAGATCTTATGATATGCATCATGATTATGATAACCATGCTCTAACATGCCATTCAAGATAAATTAATTTCAAGTGCTCCATTTTTCATAGACTTTCAAAATAAAACATCCTAGGCATGGCATCTAACAAGTAGTAGCATCAAACATCCCATTTTCATGATTTTTGAAATTACCTAATATTGAAAATAAAGCACATACAAGGAACATCATAAAATTCCTCATCCAAGAATTCTCTTACACAATAACAAAATGCTATTAAAATTAAGAACACCCTAAACATGTTTACAAATATATTAGAAAATCCTACAGTTCACTACTTTTTACCACAAAATTAAAGAGATGAGATGAACGGAATGAGTTTTACCCCCCAAAAAAAATTGACAAGTCTTCCAAGTGAACTAGACTTCAAGAGAGCTCCTTGTTCTTCAAATGGTCACTTTTAGATCCCAGAAGCACCAAGAGGGGCATTGGGATCTGTCTAGAAGTGTAAAGAGAGTGTATACAAGCTTAGGGAGACCAACAATGGAGAAAGGGGAAAGAGGGGTAGCTAGGGTTTTTGAGGGAGGGGGAAAGGCCAAGGATGTTCAGCCATGTGAGGGAGGAGAGCCTAACTCTTTCAAGTTTTTCAACTCAAGAAGACAATGCTAGCTTACCAGGGTGAGAACACTCATTGCCTGGAAAAACAATGGGAAACAAGAGAGACAGCTTTTTGTTTGTAAAACACAAAGAGGCAAAGACTTTAAAAAGTCTAGTCTTCCAGTGTAAGTCACAGCTAGGAGGACAGGAAAAGGGGTGATTCTATGCAGACGCTTACAACTATACGCAACCTTATACACGCTCACCAAAAATTCTTGGGACCCAAAGTAAGAGATTTTCATGATCTCTAAATTGAAGACGTAATTTTTACTTTTTTATTTTTTTTCTTTTCTTCTTGAATCAATTACAAATAAATAAAAATTGCGATTGTGTGGGTTGTGTTTTATTTTGGTATCTAAGCTAGCTAAAATTTTATTTCTTTTCTAATATTTTATGGGCTGTTCTCCTAAAATTTCTGTTGTTTTAGCTAATCTTATAATTTCATCTAGATCATTTTTTGTTCTTCTGTACACTGGTTTTTTCTTTAATTTTCCTATTTTTGCAAAAATTAATTCTAGGTTAATTGTTTGCTAAAAATCTTCTAAATTCCAATAGTCTCTTTTTTCTTCAAAATCTTCTAGATTTTCATAATTTTCTATGTCTAAATTTTCTAAAGAAGTATTTGTTATCTCATCAGGTATATATTTTTGGGCTAGTTCGGGAAAAATATTTCTACTAGGAAATAAAAAACTAGCGGGGACTGAATCTACTCCTAGGATACCACCACGCTTCGCACGCAACTCTAATGAATGAGCGATGGTACTAAGGGCATATGCTGTGAGTGTATGTACAGTTAGCTTGAAGAAACTAATCACCTTGTTTGTTTCCACTTTTCAAAAAACACTTTTCAGAAAATTCTACTTTCTTATTTTCCGTATTTTTTTGTTTTTACTGAATTTTTTAAATATTTTAAGCAATTTTTTTTACTTTTTAGACACACCTAACATAAATACACCTAAAAAGTAAAAAAATTATAAAAAAATCTTTTAAAAATTCACTAAATACCAAAAATACAAAAAAAATACAATAATTCAGTACATTTTTTGTATTTTTATGTATTTATTAATTTTTTAAAATATTTTTTCACAATTTTTTTACTTTTTAGATACATCTAAGTAAAGTGCATATAAAAAAGTAAAAAAAGTGTTTAAAATTTAAAAAATATTCACTAAAAATAAAAAAACATGAAAATCAAAAAAATCAATTTTCAAAAAACTTAATCCAGAAAACTCAAACCAAACACACTGAATGTTGTTTTGGCTAAAAAACATGTCGCCCTGTAAACTGAGTATGAAATTAAGTCCTAAGATGAAAGGATGATTCTGTCGGGTATTTCCAATCCAAACTTGAGGTAAAGGGAACCATTCTATATGCTGATCTTGAGAACCTAGATGATGAAAACTAATCTGTGCTCCATTGATGCAATGTGTGTATGTCTGTTTAGTGCCATCGGCTATACTAACTAAAGCTGGGGTTGTTAAAGTTGTGCTCCATCCTGGTGGAACTACTTCTTGTTCAATATGTGATTTACTGGCTCCTGTATCTACCATGGCATCTATACTAAGGGTCTTTTCTGCAAATTTGATTACACAAGAGATCTCAACTAAATTTGGTTTGGGTATAACTGGGTAATTAAATGGTAAATATGTATTATCTGGTTGCGCTTGAGAGTATTGACTAAAGGGTTGAGAATCAACTAGGTTGACTAATTCTAATGAATTCATATGTTCTTGAATCAGTTTGTCTTTTAAAGGGTACTTATTGTGAAATTGTTCTAACTGCTGTTTAAGCTGTCTATTTTCTAGTTCTAAACATTCTATGTCAAAACTAGTCTTAGTTTCTATCTTGTGTATTTGTAACTTGAGTTCCCTTACTTGTAATTCTAAATCTTTAATTGTTAAATGTAATTCTCTGCTTTCTAGACTATGATCTTCTCTGGTATTTCCTAATGTTATCTGATGTGTCATGTTTAAATTTTCAAGACAGACTATACAATAGGTTATACTGCATAATAAACATTGTGCTCTCTTATCTTTGGCTGGAAACCAATTACAATAGCTGCATCTAGTGGTATCAAATCCTAGTCCTATTTGAAAATTATACTGACATTCAGCATCTGCATTACATTCCATCATAAAGAAAGTATCTTGGGAAGGAGTTAGTCCTACTTCCTGGTTGAGTTGTCCTAAAAGATTATCTATATCTGTATCACTTTCTGAATTACTATCTGAACTTATGGCTTCTATTTGATATTCATAATCACTGACTATGCTATAGACTTCTGAATCATCGCTATTTATACTAACTATATCTTCTTCTAAATCTTCTAAAATATGAAGTCTTTTTATTTGTTTATTAGTATTAGGCCTTTGTCGTTTTGGGCAGTTTTTTGCAAAATGATTGGGTTCTCCACATATAAAATAATTGCATTTTTTACTGTTGGGTTTTCTAACATATTTTTGTTTTCTTTTATCTTTTTCTTCTTTAGGTAATCTCTTATAATTTGTCCTATTAAAAGTTCTACTTTTTCTAATGAATTTTTGTTTTTTCCTTGGTTTTCTATATTTTTTCTTCAAATATTTTTCTTTTTTATATTTTCCATATTTTTTGTATTTTTTCCTATTATATTTATCTTCATATTGCTGAGGAGTATATATTACACTGCTACAAAAGCCGTAACTTTGTTTTTTCAAATCTTTCTGTATTTTAACTTCTATACATTTTTCTCTGAGTTTATAAAATGTAAAAACTATTCTAAGTCCTATTCCTAAAATTCCTCCTATTTTTATTTCTCCTGTGGCTATTTTTGCTAGTAAACTTGCATAATAAACTGACCATTTATTTTCTATTTCTCTTCCTAGTTCTCCAGGTAATTTTCTAAAATATTTATTTCCTATTTCTTCATCAAAACTTTTTCCAGTTCTTGCTGCTATGGCTAAGTATTCTTTACTAAAAGGTACAATATGTTTCCAACTTCCAAACATTATTTGGTCTAGCTCAGTTAATGCTACGCTTTGAGCAGAATCATTTCCTCTAGAAGGATCATATCCTATAAGTATTTCTTTAATAAAATTGGTAAAATTCCACGGGTTGTTACCTAACTCTTTGAGCTGTTTAATTGTTTCTTCATATTTTCCTTTGAAAGTTAAATAAATATTATAAGCTGAATCTCCTAGAAGTGTCTCCATATATTCCCACATATCAGTTGATTCATAGGGACTGGTCATCCATGCTTTTACTGCATCTTTTTCCCATCTTTCTATTACTTCCTGTCATATCTGAGGGTCGAATTTGGCTAAATCTAAAAGGGTTTCTTGATTATTGACTTGCTGTAATTGTATACTCATATCTAGTTGCCTACGCTTTCCATGAAACTTATAGCTTTTATTTGGATCTGCATGACTACGTCCTGAACTAGCTAATGGTCTTCTTCCTCCTACTGCATAATGCATTGGTTCTATGGGATCTTCTACAGTTGGTTGGGGGTTATTAGTTCATGTGCTTTCTGTATTCATATAAAAAGTATCTTCTAGGTTAGATTGTTCTGGTATTCTAAATATTTTGCTAGGATGTATATTATCTTCTATGATATCATCTACATATTCTGTATGAAATTCTTGATCAAAAAATGACACTGCTTCGTCATGGGTATCTCCTCTGGCTACGTATTCATAATATCTAGCATCTAATATTTTATTCATGTCTTCTAGGGTAAATTTTTCTAAATCTATCTCATCTATATTATATATCTTATTTTGTGACATAGTTTTTTCCTCTGTCATTACATAAAACTGATTTATTTCACTACGATTATCTTGATTTTCTTCCCTATCTATGCTGCTAAATTCATTATCTTCAGACTTTTCTGGTGCTACATAGGTATACTGAATAAATCTTACTGCATAATTTCCATCTGTTGTCTGATATAATAAATTATCTTGCGGGGCTAATCTCTTTTGTCCTAGAAAGTCTCCTAATTTCCAATCTAATGTTGCATTATCTTCAGAATTAAATTTTTTAGCTGGTAATGCCTTTATTCCTTTTGCGCCTAATAACTTAACTATCTGATCATTTGTAAGTCTATAGTGGGTATTACTTTTTGAAACTGCTAAGCCTAAAAATCCTGTGCAAACTAATAAATTCTTTTCTCCTTTTTTCATATTGTATCCTCTACTCTTTATTCCTATTTTTATCTTTTTATGAAAGGTCGAGGTTGGTAGTAAGAAATCTGGTGTAAAATAAACTATTCCTCCTTTTGAATTCATATCTAGTTCATAGCTACCTAAAATACTCTGTCCGACATCATTAAACCTATCATCATAGAGGCATACAAACACTTTAGTTCCTAAATTTTCTCTGGTTAAAGTCTTAACTCCTACCATTACTAATCCTAAATGAGTCATTTTAAGGTGTTCATTTACTGCATATTTATAGCTTTCTCTTTCTGTTAAATTTAGCTCTATTTTCTCATTTTCTTGAGTTACACTAATCATCTGTTCACCATAGTGTTTAAATAAATATTGTTTTTTTATGAATCTTACCTAGCTTATATATATGTTTAGCTGGAATTAATTCTAATTTCTCTTTCTTAAATTTTTCTATTTGTTGTTCTACATTTATAAATTCTTCCATTTTAACATCTTCATTTTCAGTACGCTTTTTACTACTACTTCCTTTCATTAGCTATTTAAACATTTTTATTTTATGTAAATTCTACAGGTGGATTTTCTTGGTAATTTAAGCTTTTCAAAATATCTGGCTATATCTTCTTCGTTTACCTGAGATTGGGGCCTATTAGTTTGTCCTTCTACTCCTTTTCCTTTTTGAAGTATTATTTTTTCTAAAGAAGCTAAACGATTTTCTAAGCTATGTAGTTATTCTGATAAATATTCAAAATTTTCACACAATCTAATAAGAAATAAAATTTCTATATTATTTTGTCTTACTGATATTTTATCTGACTGATTTATTCCTTGATAGCTACTGATTCCTTCTGGGTTATTATGAAAATCTTCTGCTTGTTTTAAAATAATCTGGTAGTCTCTATTAGTTTTCTTATCACTACTCATAAAGTAAGATCTTACAAGTTGTTCTAAAATTTCTAATTTCTTTTTTAGATTATCTTGAATTTGGTTGATTTGTTCTATTTGTTTAGCTATTTGATTTATTTGACT